GGGGGTTGGTGTTTGATGGGGGGACAGTGTAGAGGGAGCTTTACTCTGTATCCAACCCCATGCTATCCTTATCCTGTAAGGGAGCGCGGAGGGAGCGTGGTGTTTGATGGGGGTCAGTGTAGAGGGAGCTTTACTCTGTATCTAACCCCGTGCTATCCTTATCCTTTGGGCTTTGGGGGTGGTGTTTGATGGGGGTGCAGTGTAGAGGCAGCTTTACTCTGTATCTAACCCCATGCTATCCTTATCCTGTAGGGGGAGTGGGTGGTGTTTGATGGGGGTCAGTGTAGAGGAGGCTTTTCTCTGTATCTAACCCCATGCTATCCTTAACGTGTGGGGGTGGTGGTGTTTGTTTGGGGGGCAGTATAGAGGGAGCTTTACTCTGTATCTAACCCCGTGCTATCCTTATCGTGTGGAGGGGGGGTGATGTTTGATGGGGGGACAGTGTAGAGGGAGCTTTACTCTGTTGCGGATCTCTACAGCAATGCTGACCGAACCCTTGCCTCTCCCTTTGATACAGTGCAGGTACTCTACCGGTGACCTTTCGCTGTCTCGAAGAAAACCTGCATATCGACAAAAGGGTGACTCGGTTTGTGCTGCCTATTGGTGCTACCATAAACATGGATGGCACGGCATTGTATGAAGCGGTGGCGGCCATCTTTATTGCCCAGATGAATGGGATCACGCTGGACCCTGGGCAGATAATCACAGTCAGGTAACTGGTCTCCTCGACGGTTATTGGCCATCCCAATGGATACCATGTCCTACATCGCCTATGTGTCTTATCCTGTGTGTGATAATGTCACTCCAAAGACCTGACCAATGCTCTGGGTTCAAATCCAGCCGGTGAAATTTAATTTACTTATAAATGTGAAACTTGAACCTAATAGCAACAGTGGCATAAAAACAAAGTTGCTGGAAAAGCTCAGCAGGTCTGGCAGCATCTGTGGAGGAGAAAACAGAGTTAACGTTTCGGGTCCGGTGACCCTTCCTCAGAACTGATGGTGGCTGGGAAAACGTCAGTTTATATGCAGAAAATAGGGAGGTGGGTGGGGTAAGATAGAGCCCAAAGAGAGAGAAAGACAGTTGGACAGACAAAGGAGTTGCTAACAATCAGGCTGGGAGGGTGAGTAGTTGTTAATGGGGACTGTTAGTGACTAACAACAGTGGGTGTGTAATGGCAGGCTATGTGGTAACAAGGCCTGGTGTGTGGGTTGGGGGGCTGGGACATGGGAGAGTTCAGGCCCTAAAATTATTGATATCAATATTGAGTCCGGAGGGCTGTAGGGTCCCCAAGCGGAAAATGAGGTGTTGTTCCTCCAGCTTGCGTTGGGCTTCACTGGAACACTGTAGCAAGCCAGAGACAGATGGTGGCCAGAGAGCAGGGTGGTGCATTGAAGTGGCATCAATTGTTTTGCTCGATTTCATAATTTCGAAATCTCCTGCCCATGACTCACCTTAATTTAAGATCCGCTAATTGACCCTGTAGTGATGGAGGGATTTGAACCTGGATCCCTGAAGTATTGGCCTAGGCCTCGGGATTACAGATCCTGTGCCAGTACCACCAGCTCCTGGCGCTCTAGCGGGTACAGTGACATTGTTTGGTGGAAATACAGGGCAATAGTAGCAGCTTAAATTTAGAAATAAGTCAGTCAGGAGAGCAAGCAGCGGAGACGATGGCCTAGTGATATTATGTCTGGACTGTTAACCTAGAGACCCAGATAATGTTCTGCAGATCACAGTTCGAATCCTAGCATTGCCAGATGGTTAAAATTTGCATTCAATAAAAATCTGGAATGAACAGTACCATGATGAATCAGTTACTGATTGTGGGGGTAAATCCCATCTGGTTCACTAATGCCCTTTGGGGAAGGGAGCTGCCATCCTTACCTGGTCTGGCCTAGACTTGAATCTGTTGACTCTTAACTGCCTGTTGGGCAATTAGGGATCGTCAATAAATGCTGCCTTAGCCAGCAACACTCTCATCCTGCACATGCGTCCCACCCAGTTGGGACTGTGGTTTGGGAGTTTGCTACACCTTAAAGGGCAGTAGGTTTTGGAGGGGGATGTGATAGTGAATTGTAATATTTAACACTCAGCTTGCAATAGTTTTGCTGGAAACATTGAAGTGGGAGTAGGCCATTCGGCCTGTCGAACCTACTGCCCATTCAATATGATCGTAGCTGGCACTCTACTCCAGTGCCACGCTCACACTCGGTCACCAGTATCCTTTGGCACCTTTGGCCTCTAGAAATCTGAATTATATTCAGTGACAGGACCCCCACGCCCATCCACAGTGGGACATTACACAGGTTCACCACTCTCTGACTAAGAAAGTTCTCCTCATCTCAGTCTGAAATGGCCTACAGGGTATCCTGAGACTGTGACCTTGTGCTGGACTCCGAGCAAGGGCAAACATCTTCCCAGCATGCTGTTCACCTAGCCCTGTCCCAGGTTTATATGTTTCACTGTAATCCCCTCTCATTCTTATAAACTCCAGTCAATATAGGCCCATTGAGTCAGACAGTCATATAGCACGGAATCAGATCCTTCGGTCCAACCAGTCCATGCTGAACATAATCCCAAACTAAACTAGTCCCACCTTTCTGCGCTTGACCCATATCCTTCCAAATCTTTCCTATTCATGTACTTATCCAAATGTCTTTTAAACGTTGTAACTGAACCTGCATCCATCACTTCCTCTGGCAGTTCATTCCACACATGACCCACTCTCTGTGTAAAAAAGTTGCCCCTCATATCCTTTTCAACTCTTTCGCCTCTCACCTGAAAAATATGCCCCCTAGTTTTGAACTCCCCCACTTGAGGGAAAAGACATCTGCCATTCACCTTATCTATGCCCCTTATGATTTTATAAACCTCAATAAGGTCACCCCTCAACTTCCTACGCTCCAGTGAAAAAAGCTCCAGTCTTTCCAGTCTATTTTTGTATTCAAACCCTTCAGTCCTGTCAACGTCCTGATAAATCTCTTCTGAACCCTCTCCAATGTAATAATATCCTTCCAATAGCAGGGCGACCAGAACTGCACACAGTACTGTAGAAAAGGCTTCACCAATGCTCTGTACAACCTCAACATGACGTCCCAACTCCTATATTCAAATGACCAACCTGTCTACATG